ATATGGTACCTTTTGTGTGCTTCCTGTTTACTGCGACACTCTTCACAGTAATATTTATATTCACTGCACAAGGTTTCTGTGTTGCTGAAACCCCTAAAACAGGAGAATATTAACAAAGAAAACTCCATTTTTTGAATAAATTATATTGAAAGACCAACAACTTTCAATTCTCTTATTGAAATATATTTTGCACTGAACTGTACATTGCATATTTGAGACACTATGACACAAAGTAGGTAACAGTTCAAATTCAATTAAGGAACAATACAAAAGGTTTTATGAAGTCTATTAATCTTAAACTAGTCTAATAAAACAAATTAACTTACTTTATCTCAAATAAACTGATATGCTTATGAGGGCAGAATCAGTGATAAGTTATTTCTCATACCTTAAACAATGTGTGATTGAAGTATTTTGTTCCACATCAACAGAAAGATCTAAAAAATCTTCATCTTTGTTGCTTATCTGCAAGTTAAAAACAAATTCTAAAATAATCAATTTTATGTACATTTTTGAAAGACCTCAAGCTAACAATAGATGAACACACAATGAAAGCAATAATGGTAACTAATAATGGTAACTAAACATATAACAAAATTCATTTCTGTTGGAGAAAGAATGCTATTGTTTTCATCTCTCTATTAGTACAGTGAAAGCTACATTGTTTTAGGGATCTTCTCTTGGCTTCTCCTTTTACACTGGAAGAAATTGATTCAATTCTCTTGGCAATATATTTTTGGAGTTCAGTACTGAACATATTAAATTCCATATATCTCCAGTGAACAACAAGAAATAAGTTATTTGGCTATATAATTCATCTTTTGTAAACATAATTCACTGCATACTGTTCTTGGCAGTGGATGAAGAAAACTGGATATAAATATACAGTGCAAATACTGACAAAAGAGCAAGAATACAATTGGAAAAGCAACCTTAGTATTTTGTTCTTACCAGAATTAACAACTGAAGATACATTCATCTTAATGCTTCTGTATAAAACAGTTTAAGGACAGACTATTAGTAACACATGTTAAGTACAGTCAGTGGGAACCTGAGGTCCTCCAGATATTGCTAAATTAAAACCTGCAACATTTTGTACTTTTGTTTTTAAAAATTACAGGTAATCAGAAACAAAGGTTTCCCAGGGTATTATAGCATCCCTCACTCCTGGCCATGCTACAGGGGATTATGAAACCCAATGTGTATGGAACATATCAGTTGGGAAAAGCTAAGTGGAAATTCATTTCTCTGATAAGAAACTCAGATAATTTATTAATCATGAATGCAATAATATGAGAAGATAGACAAGCACCTATTTTTAAGATCCAAATTTATGTCAACTAAGACATGCAAAACATGTTTCCCATTTTCTAGCCCGGTGCCTTACCTATTACACCAAACTTAACCATTAACTATTACACCAAACTATTACATCAAAATTACTCTCATTTCCATATTCACTCTTTCTAAATTCCAGTCACCCAACTTTTTTTCAAAATAAAATTTTTAATTACTACAAAAAAGTCCTTATACACAAATAAACAGCTGTTGTACAATTCTATTAAGTCAAACCATGAAATAAAATTTGTTTACTCTACTGAAATCACCACACAACTCAAATTCGTATCAATATTTTATATTCAGCTTTTTTATCCACTGCCAAAAACAGTATTTGTTTTTATATCCATCATCCATGCTGAAAATTAAGAGTGATCTGTAAAAGATGCTTACAGTTTCACAGGTGAGACACCTTGTTTCATTGGTTAATGTTCCTTGGAAGATTTCATGAACCCATGTTGGATCTGGGGAATTATTGTTTTCGCTGTCAATGTTGCCATTAGGTAAACGGCCATTCTGTTTCTCCTGTTTCCTCTCCTCTTGCAAAATATCTGCCACTGTATTCAGCAGATAGTTCAAAAACTCATGTGCATCTTGCTGCATGTAATTGTCGAAAAGCTCTACAAAAAATGATACATTTAGTCTACTTCTTGGGTAGATAAATATGTTTAAAAAGCAGTTGCTGGGAACCAGCAGTGACAGAAACTTATTGTACACATCCTGCATAACTGACTTTCTGTAGCATCTGGTTTGCCATCATATGAAACAGAGGGTTGAGTTACATAAGCCTTGAGGTTATCCAGTTGAATTCTTGCTGTGTTCAACATTCTAACATTCTCGCAACTTTCCATCATATATTTAGTGTGACCCAAAATATTCTAGAACCAACTGCAAACAGGTTGGAACAGATATTCTGGACTCTAGTACTTTATATTCTTTCAGGTGTGTTATTGGAACTTGGTCCTATGCATGATTAAACTTTCAAGAACTGGTTTTTTTTTGCTCCTGACTTTGTATTGTTGGCATCAGTGACAGGAACATCTTGAAGAGGGACTGAAAGTACTTTTGCAAACAAAAGACAAGGGTATCTGCAGTACACAAGCCTGCTTCTACCCAATAGCAAATATATGTTCATTAGTATGATCCCAGGAAAAGAGTTGGCTGCTTTGAAGAGCTACAGATAGGTACTATAATTTTTCGATTCCATATTCCAAAGGTCTGGAATTTGGAATCAAATCCCAAACACTGCACAGCCCCCATGCTTATGAGAATATTCTGCAATTTGATAGTTTTATAATATTTTTTGAAAGGTATATTAAACATACAACATGGCCACTGGTGGAACACTGATCCCAGAAAGCTAAGACCTTGAAATGTTTTTCTAAGTGTCTTGTATTTAACGATATATTTAAGAAAAAATGCCTAAAAAGTAAAGATGACTAATACTTTATCTTTCAGAAGCACTATTCATTTTGATTCATAGTATGAAACTGCACAGACCTGATTCCATACTAAAATACAACTAAGGTGTAACTAAAAATCCAAATGAAAAACACAAGTTCCTGCTTGTGAGAGGGTTCTTTGGCTCTTTTAAATTGTAATTATTTCAGTAACTGATGCCTTATGTTTTACTCTTCACAACTAAGAGCTTAAAAATTGTGTCTGAATACTTAAGAAGCTCTTTCTAATTCACCTATGTCCTTTTCTTAACAAATCAGATGTTGAATCAAATTACTAAAATGGAATTCTTTAGGAATAAAACAGAAGGTGTACCTGCAGATAGAAATGACTTGTTCAAGGGTTGGTCAAATGAAATAATAATGAGTTTCTTCTTCCATGCAAAACTTGTGTATGATGCAGAAGTATTTGCTGAGCAACAACAAACCAGAGAGACAAATAGGTCTCCATCTGGTCTCTTGTACAAAAAAAAAAAAAAAAGTTTGCATCCTGACAGAACTGAAGAAATTCACAAAAGGAGAAAGTTGCAAATGCATAAAATAAATGACCAGAGTATCTTTCTCAATCAGTTCAACAAATGTTCAATTCTACTTGTAGAGTTATTTTAAGAAGTTGGAGGATTTATTTATTTATTAAATTTATATGCTTTTTAAAAGTTTTATGCTTCTGTTATTGGCACCACATAGTTTCATCTTGTCTCTCATGCTTAATAATACTTGTGTGAAGTTACTGGAAAGGTCATTTGGAGATTGGCAAGCTAAAAACACAAAGTTTTATTTCATCTTCATTTCAGTTAGAGTAAGCTGAATAGGTGCCTAGAATCAGTAGATAACAGAAGTTCTTTGAATGAATGATCCCAGTGTTTTGGATGATGGTGTTTCACTTGTAGTGGATACAGGTATCCAGACTAGTATGGTAGCTGTGCTTTCTTGGGCAGGGAGAGAGCAACCTATATCTGTGAGCTCCTATTTTAACTAAGTTATTCAGTGGGCTATTTTTGCAAACTGCAGTTTAATTAATTAATTACATTTAATTACTCTCTGGGTCTGTGAATTGCAATCGTATTTCACTAATAGGAAAAAAAATCTTCAATATCTACAAATCCATTTCTAAACTCAATTCAAAACACTGGTGTTTACAGTAAACTATAATGACTTTGGCTTCCTTAGGGATTTTCAACATGTTGTCTTCTGTGTTACCATTTAGATACCAGGTTAAAACTCATTTTGTTTACCAGAACATTTTCTTTATATTAGCTGTGCTAATCAAATTTAATATTTTGTAGTCTTATTATAGTTTTACTGATTGCTACTTTACTCAAATTGTGTCTTTATGCAATTCTTAAACTTCCTGAAATCAGATGCTATCAGGCAGTATCTTATTTGCTTAAAATAAATGGGTTGCAAGGAAGACTTATTGCTGGACTTGAAGGATACAATAGTACTTTTATGACAAAATTTCAAAGGTTTGGGTTTTGAAGATCAGTCCAACTAAGAATACTGGGAAAGAATAATTGAATAATGGAGAGAAAATGCCCATGTTGTGATTAAATTGTTAAATGCAAAGCCTTCACAACAACAAAATAAAACATTACCATTCTCTTTTCGTAGTCTTGTTATGAACTTTTTAGGAGGTATCACTCCAACTTTCTTCTTCTGGGTGGCTATACTGTGGAAGAGATCAGCTAAGCAGGTGAGAAGACTCTCTTTTTTTCTGGGCTGACTCTTGTATGCCAAGACTTTCTCTCGAAATGGTCGACAAAAATAAAGTGCCTGAAGAACTGAATTACAGTAGCATGTATTTCCAAACTAGAAAACAAATTGTCAGTTAAGTTAGACTAACAAGGATCACTAAGTAAATGGTATGCAGAAAGAAATTTGCTAAAGCATATTAATGATTTTTGGATTCTGAAGGATAACATAGTCGATTAATTGGGATAAATATAATGATCAGCAAACATGCACTTGTTTACTGCCATCTGGCTTATATTTTACTTATATTTAGAAATAACCAACAATAACGCATACCTTTCTGTGATCTATGCACTGTTAATGAAATTATTTTAAAAGGCATTAGAAAACTTTATTTTATGTTTTGTTTGTATCATATACAATAATACTAAAGCCTTCAGTTTTGAAGTTCTCATCACAATATAAATTTCTTGTCAAAAATGCCACTGTGTCTCTTTTTTGTAATATTAATAAAGAAAATAACAGATTCTTCTACTGTTCGGAGCAAATTCCTCCTTGTATTTCTTGTCACATTAAATATGTTTTTTGTCACTGCAACTACACTGATGCTAAAGATAGTTAACACAAACCCAGATATTCAAACCTTCTTCAATTCCTTATTTACATGAGAGTTATAATTAGGGTAAGCAAAGGTAAATATCAGTATAAATGATATAAGCCATTGTTAAAATCAATAAAGGAAGGGAGATAGGAACAATTGCTATTGAGACAGAGATAAGAAATAAACATATCCACTGTTAGAGAAGAGATTGACAGTACTGAATCTGGATCTACAGGAGCACCGTCTATCAATTTGGGCATATCTTATACATATAATTCAGTGTTACAGGTATGAATAATTTATGATCTGAACCAAAACTAAATAAATTGAACAATATTGTTCAGTACATGAAATAAATTAATTCAACATTATAGCCACTTTTATTATTATTTTCTCTAAGCTATCAATCTCTAACATCCTGGCAAACAATTTTTCAGCAACTTTCTTATCTAAATTATTCATTCCACTTCTTTTTCAAAGCAAGCAAAATATGAAACTTACATTTACTAAACCAAAATAATGTTCATTGACTGGGAATTGTTCTGGACCAATTTCTTTCTCTAAGGCTGAGGCATTAGCGCCCTAAGAGGAAAAACAAATAGTATTTAGTAGCAATTATTAAACTATTTTATAGCACAGTTTGACCATACAAATTAAGTAATTTACTAAGAACAACTAAATAAGATGTGTGAAGCAAGAATAAGGGTATAATGCATAACATTTATAATATATAAAATTTGATTAATAATGGCATTTTGTGGTATACCAAAAAGGAAATTAGGTTGGCCATTATTTGCAGTTTAATTTTTCCTTGCAATTCTAATACAAATCCATAAATTGCTAATATTAAATATGATAGAAAGGATGTTTACCCATGTAATTAGCATTTATGGGTATATAGGTAGGGGATCTTATACCGGGCATCTACATTTATGGTTAATTTTACTATTATAAATTTATGATTTCCTATCAGCTACATACCTAAAATTAACAGACTACAGTGGTACTTCTAGTTACGAACACCCCTCCTTACAAATTTTTCAAGATACGACCAGCTCCGGCCCCAAAAATTTACCTCGGCATGCGAACTCCACCTCTACTTACGAACCGGATCCGTGGCCATTTTCCCT